ATAGGTAATGGAGCTCCCATTACCTCACTCGCGAAAGGGCAGTCGCGGAACACATGCAAAGTGGTCTCGACTCCGTCCCCACAAACAGGGCAAGAGCAAGAGCTGGTCAGATGTCACCTCGCGCTTTCCGCATTTGTCAACAGTCTATTGTGCCCCACCAACCAAAGAAAGGCCCTGATACGTTGAATCGTCGGGGCTTTCCAAATTGCTCGCCAGACGTGGTTGGCTGGCGCAGGCTGATGCTCCTCATCAATTAGAGCATATGCCATCTTGAGTGAGAATTGGCCATTTGGGGTAAACCTCCATGTTGGCTCATCATCTTCAACCTCACTTGGGACCTCGTGGAGCTGGATCTGTTGTACCACCTGGAGGGGAAGGAAGGCGTTAATGTAATCAAAGTTCCAACTTCCGTTGAGGACCATCTCTGCAACATGCACTGATCTCGCTGCCGGTGGTAGCCCAGGTGCCAAATCTGACAGGGACAGGCCGTCAAAGAGCCATCTATCTTCCCAAAATCGAACCCGAGTACCACTACGTACATTCCAAAGAACTCCGTCTGGCACCCAATGGATCACCCGTAGAACGCCATGCCATAGGTTAGAGAGACGACCTGTCGTACGTGGCTTGAGTACTCCATCTTCTTGCTTCAAGTATTTGCTGTGAATCACCTTGGCCCAAAAACTAGGAGAGAACATTTTCAACAATGAAACATGTGAAAACTTAATTGCACAATAAAATGAGCGTTGACTTTCTCAGTGATTGCTTAACTATTTTATTTGAAAGGGAGTATGCTATTGGTATGGATAAAAACTCTACTATTAATGGATTTGCTAAATTAAAAGATGTCGTGCAGAATTGACATTATAAAGAAAACTGTGGTTATGATATTTTTTTTACGGTATCTAATTTTTTTAATGAAATCGGTCTAGTGCTCTACTATGTCCTGAATTCGCCGCTGAACATGATATGTGGTGAAATATATAATCTAACAAACCTATGAATCATCAATGAAACAACTCATAAGCTATAGATTGATTCTATGGATGGCAATGGGCCGGGTCGGGGGCGGATAGTGCAAATCTGTTACCCTACCCAATCTAGTTCGGGTTTTACCCATACCCGTACCCATACGAGAAACGGGTAGAAAATCAAAACCATGCCCATACCCGTTCGGGTTTCGGGTATCCACGGTTATCAATGGGTAATAATTTCTCCTTATAATTCCAACCAATATGTTAACATTCACACGTATACTCACATTACGTAAGAGGAAAAGTACGACAATAATTCACTAGAATGACGAAAATTAATTAAAACAACATAATTTCATGAAAATATTATACTTATATGCTAAATATAAAATATTCTAGAGAAAAATAATGATTATTTCTAGACAAAATACATATGCATGTGTATAATCGGGCGGGTTCGGGTTGGATAGTGAGATAACCATGCCCACCCATTACCCGCAACATTCGGGTTCGGGTTTTACCTGTACCCACGAAAAATGCTTCGGGTTCGGGTTTTACCCTACCCGATTAGGTCGGATTCGGGTGGATATCCACGGTTACAGATACTTTTGCCATCCCTAATTGATTCACTCGTACACGCTACTTGAGCTGGCTCGATAGCCATACTGATGAGGCTAATGAGTCAACTAACGAGTTGAGCGTAACAAGCCACCGAGTTGTGCTGGCCAGCGAGCCTCGCGAACTGAAAAAAAGGTTAGTTCAAACTCGTCTTGTTAGTTAACGAGCTGAGTATTGAACGAGTTTTTACTAAATTGAACATTGAGACGCTAATCGAATGTCAAGTTTTTCCTAATTTGAGTAACAAGTCACAGAGTGGAGATGGACAACGAGGCTCGGGAGATGAACAATGGTTAGCACAAGCTTAACTAGTTAGTTCATGAGTTGAATATTAAACGAGTTTTTTTTTAAAATCAAACGTCAAGTTGCTAATAAACAGGTCGACTCATTTGTATCCTTTTGCAAATTAAGTAACCAAAAGGGTAAGAATTCATAAATACACGTAGGTAGGATTGGTGTGGGCGTGTGCATGGTGGGAAAAGTCATGGTTGTTGTCACTCAAAACCTTTTGCTTGTGTCTTTATGAAATCTTTGGTCACACATTCACACACCCAACATATTATCTTCTCCACTTCCATTCATTTCCATATTGATTCCTTCCTTCTTCCCTTTATCTTTTCTTGTTTTCTTCGATCACTATCATTTTTGGGTTGTCTCTATTCGTAAGCTTATAAACAACGCATGCACCAGGCTTTTGTTTTTGAGGGTTCCTTTTCAGTTTTTGTTTCCATTTTATTGACTGATATAGATTTTAGGTGTACAATAGTTTGGTCCGATCTAAACTCATGAGAATTATTGTTCAATTGTTAAAGATATTTTAGTAATAAAGACAAGATCAACATTGCGTTCCATCCGCTTTCATGCAGTGCTAATGTCACTTTGGTCTAATTTCCTTTAGTATTTATAAAATCATGAAATCAAGAATTAGACTATGTCTTGTTCAATTGTTAAACATATTTTAGTAATAAAGACAAGATCAACATTGCGTTCCATCCGCTTTCATGCAGTGCTATTGTCACTTTGGTCTAGTTTCCTTTAGTATTTATAAAATCATGAAATCAAGAATTAGACTATGTTATATTAGGTTCGGTATGACTCGATATAAATATAGATTTGGTTCGATACGGTATGACACGGACCAACTCATTCCATACCCTAGATATGGAAGTGAATATGGACTCATACCAAATTTATCAGTTTGAGGCTTTCTATATACATCATAGTTCATGTGAGAAGTTCTAACGAAATGCTCCTAATAATATTATCAAGAACTAATCGTGCAATTAAGAACACTTATCGAATCCTTATTTAATCGATTGAATTGTGCATATGATCTTTTAAAACCTTTATGTATCATTTTTCCTCGGTTTTGAAGAAAAACAAGAGAGACACTCATATATATAACGTGCTCTGACGCTCCTTACAAACAAGAACATACAACCCTTACGTCGACTCTCTCTCAATAGCTATGTCAATACAATAGCCATACTGTTCTACCTATCTTCTTGTATTAAACATTTATCTAAATGATTGTAAAAGTCTAGTAGAAATTGTAACCCACAAAATTAGTAGTAGTGTATTTTGTGCTGATCGTGGTGGTTCAATCTCTTAATACCGTAACAGATCATCTACCTATTCAGATTCTTGTATGAAATTTTTTCGGTCGGACCATAAATACGATTGTAGAACTGATTAATATATGTACTTTTCAGCCCTGGTTTCTTTGCTCCATACAATAACTTCTTAGTGGAACCTTTGAACTTCGACACTATCTTACTATGACAACTTGGAATGTTTGCTTCTATGCATTGTTGTCCATGTGCACACCACACCGGTACAAGAAAAAGGGTTTATTAAAGAAAAGGGTGGCAACTAGACAGGGAAACTCTGCAAGATCATACCCCTACTTTAGGTAAGGTGTGGTGATCTCCACATCCAAAGATACAACAATTTGCAAAAAAGCTCTCTTCTTTGTTGGGAAATCCAAATCGATGAAAAGCAGAAAGGGTTCCAAGATTTACAACAGTTAGGCTCGACGTTGTAACTTGTAAGAATGCACAGTACTAGCTAGCTAGTGTTTGACATAGCAAGATAATATAGATGGACTTGCTCAGTTACTCGAGTGTTAATTAAACGGTGGAATCAAATTGTAGACCACAGTGATTGTGTAGAGTTTTAAACAAAATAGAGTTTCTATAAAATTTTATTATATAATATAGAAAGAATTGTGTAGAGTCTCACAAACTCAAAAAATCTAATTAAACTGCATGAATCACTACCTTACAAATTGTTTTACGAATATGATCCGTGCATACTTTCAACAAAAATGATTAATAATTTCAGTCTCACAACCGTTGAATTCAAAACCAAGTCTTCTCTAATATTTGATAAAATTCATTTTTATGGCTGGGTGCGGATTTAATTTTTTGAAAACCGTATTGTGGTTGGGTGCGGGGTTTTATAGTTACAACCCAAAATTAACCAAACCGACCCGTGATGCTACATTATACAACAAAATCTTTCATTTAAAAAAAATATATTGCTCTTATACCAAATCTCTTTTGCTAAGTTCTACACATGTCATTAGTATATGTGTTTATAATTGATAAATTATAAAGTCAATTATTTATTAAAGTGTTCACTCAAGTGAATATTATTTTGATTCTTTTATTTTTCTAGTATGATGCACATTTTATTATGATGTTTTTTTATTTTATTTAATTTCATATATGTATTTTTTCAGATTAAATTATAAAATTTATATTTTTAGTAGAAATACAAATTTTATTCTTCTATAATGGATTTGATTTCCATCCAAACTGACCCAAACCATGACTCAAGAAATTCATAGGGTCTTAAATTAATGGGTGGATATGAATTTACTATAATTCAACCCGTGAATCATTGGTTGGATGGATAAAATGCTCAAAACCTACCCAACTGATCCATGTACATTACTAGTGATACATATCATAGTTAATAAAATACGGTACAGAAAAGTTACATATAAAATACGTACGGGTATTATACTTCATCTCTAAGTTAAAGTTATATTTTATAGTACTTTAATAGGCATTAATATAAAATTTAATTATTTTAAAAATAAATAATATATAAATAATACTAAACTTAACAATTTAATTCATAAAATACGAATAATAAACGTGTTATCAAACGAACGAGGAAAAATAAAAAAGCTTAACAATAATATGGATACGGAAGTTTTAAACAAATAAAGTACGTACGAGATATGGGGGATATGGAGGTTTTGTTTGCTACAGCCAACAATCTGGGTCATTGCCTCATTGGCCCAAATTAGAGAAACTGCTCGGCCCACATAATCGAGACCCGAGCTGCCGAAGTCGGCCCATACGCTTTCCAACCCAGGATTTCAGGACTCAGAATACTTACCAAACCGGGCCCGCTTAGGGGATACGTCAGTAGTTAGCACAGTCAGCTACCGAAGTGGGCCCCGCCGGAGCTGCTAGCCAATACTGTGCGCGAGCTGCTGCTACTTCCCAGAATCTTCCCTCTTCTCTTCTTCCTCCGCAAACAAAAAAATAATTCCCTCTGCCCCGGCAAATCTTGGTGAAGGGGTTAGCCAGACCTTTCTGGCAGATCAAAATAAAACCCTTGTCGACAAACCGATCTGCGGCAAGGTCGTCCTCCCGTGAAGCAGCGTTTCTAGGGCTCCGATTAGAACTCGTCGGAGGTTTCCGGGAATCGGCCGGGGGCGGCGGCGATGGGGATTGTCAGGACCGGGTTCAATTTCATGCTCGGTACGTTCTTCGGTATCTACATAGCTCAGAACTATAACGTGCCTAACATACAGAAGATGGCCAACACCGGGATGGCCATCGCCAAAAGCATCGAGGAGTCTAATAGGAAGCCCAAGAAGAGAGACGCCGAGGATTGAATTTGATTCTCTTTCCTTTTAGGATTTCGGTTTTGGTTATCACAGTGTTGTTTCCTTATTGCGTTGCGCCTTCGATTTGGCGATGCCATTTTTTGTTAGAGGATTGTTCAGGTCTTTTTCTCTCTTTTAAACCTTTATTTCTGACTTGCTTGAATATCCAACTTTGTCAATGGAAATCAGGGTGAATAAATTGAATTACTTTGCCCCTTTTCGTTCTTGCCATCTTTGGAAATTCCCAGTTCTACTTCAGAAGTCTCTTTGTGCTGTTTAATGTGATAATGGGTTGTACAGAAGCTTCTTCCTTGTGCTTTGTTAAGCTTGAGTTGCTTCAAGAATCGCAATGATAGTGTTGTAGCCGACTTCTCTGAAAAATGTAGTGCCAAGAGCTTATGGAGTTAGAAGCAAGTCATGTATCCTATGATTGTAATGCACCACTCATTGCATCTGTGGATGGAATTTAGTTGTGGTTTGTACTGTAAGCTCAAGTATCTTTCGGTTGTTAATCATGAATTTTCATGCCATTATCTTGCAGAAGGAACAAAGTGGGAAACATTTAACATTTGTAGAGTGTAAAGAATGTGCTGTCTGTCGGGTTTTAGTGCAAATGTGGACATATCTTGGCTTATACTACTATCTGCTGATCACTGTTTCCATAAACTTATGATCGTCAATTAATTCACGTTCAAGGAGAACACTCAGTTTCTTAATTGCTGTGAGGCAGTCAAATATATTGGGTGGAGAGCGTGTGAACCGGAGGTAAGTTAGGCTTTAGTGATGCAGAATTCTCTGAAACAGGCAGTAGCCTATGAGTTCTTTGATTCTCTTGGCTCGTCCATTCACTTGCTAGCTTATAGCTAATCAACTGGGTTGGTAATCCACAGTCTATGGTCTTTGGTATGAATAGCATTGATATTATTGTCTATGATATTTAGCTACAAAATATAGTGACTTGTCTCTGCAAACAGTTAGCAGTAGTAAGTAGCTGAGGCCTTTGACTTATTCCATAAAAAACAGATGAAAATCTCATCTACAAGATAACATAGCCTATCTTAGCTGCTTAAGGTGCACTGTATTTCAGCTGATGGTTAGGTACTTGTGCCTGTCTCCTGCATTGACTGAAGCTGTATCAGCATTGTTGGATGAGGAGCTACAGCCAGAGGTTTGGTTACTTAGTGCAATGAGCGCCAGTCCGCAATGGTTGTAATTTTGTCGGAGTACACAATGGATAGTGAACTTTGGTCAAGAAGTTCCACTATCTCTTCCATCTGGCCGAGGAGGTAGACAGCTTCCCTTACACTTGCTTTTTTCTCTTCAATTGTGCTTTTCAAACACTTACCAAATACAAATGGTCTCAAGTTAGTGAGACTAGCTGCCAATATGTCGGAGATCAGCACAACTAGTGTTCCAAATAAGCTTTCCTCTGAAGTGCTGCTGTTGTGGTGATAAATGTGCAGAATTGTGTTGCTTATCCTGTAGATGGAATTAGCTGCCAATGCCTCAGCAGGCCATTCTGAAGGGCTAACTTTTGGGCATTGTGTTAGATATGTGCTCTTAAAGTTTGCAAGCCTTTCCTTTCCAGCTTCAACAAGCCGTTCTAGTACATCTCTTGTGCCTTTTTGATTTCAGGGATAGTTGGTGAAGATCCAAATCTAACCATTTGTGGTAAATGTCGACCCCTGACCACACATGATATGCTGCTCTTCTTATGTTTGGCAGCTCTTCTTTCCCATCCTCGTATTCTTCTATGAGTTTGACATACACAAGTCCCTCATGTACACTGCGTATCAAGTGTTTAACCGAACAACTACTGACATTTGGGAGTGAAACTGCAATCGCTGTTAAAGTAACTATAGGAAGAGACCAAGATTGTGGAGGTTCTTCACCTTCCAGCCTGCAGACTTGGTCGGAGTCGAATTCTGCTACTCCCTTGAATCCTTCCGTAAAGGTTGCCATTTTTAACAGGTCTGTGAGGTGTTTTGGCTGTTTCTTTTTCCCCTTCCGCATCCAATGATCTGTGGCAGTACAATTCTTCCTCATTGTCACTTCCACTAGTTCTTCCTCACCTTCAAGATGCAAAACAAAGTGGCTTAGATCTATTTTATTGGTCTCAAGTCCTTGATCAACTGAAGTGCCATTACTTGGTAACAACCTCTTCAACTTGCAGCAGGAATCATAGACCCTAACAATTCTGCACGCGCATAAGATGCAGATGCATTGAACCAATTTGCATGCCATCACGATTCCAATTTGTGCTTGAATACAAGTGTCCAAGAAGCTGCGCTTTGCTTTATATGCAAGTTTTCGGAGTTGCTGGCTTTCTATGTGTATGAATGGACACTCTTTGATCTCCACCAAGTACTGAATCCAGTACTTCTCCACTTTAAAATATGTTCCTCTGTTACTTTTCTTCCCATTTTTTGGTAACCTGTAAAACACTGATGTGAACCATCTGACTGCTGGGGCAACAGTACCGACCCCAACTGCTACAGTCTGTGCAATCAAAACTAAAGTGGTTGACCACTTGTAGTCAGACTCCCCTACACAAAACTTGAATGACCCTGGCATGTAAAATGAGCGCAACATGGCATCTGCAAGAACTGTGGCGCTAAGGAGACACAGTGCACCTGACGCAGTAGAAGTAACTGAACGGGCCATTACAAATTGAGGGTTGCTGGTATGTGCCATTATCCAGAACTTCATCAGGTCTTCTTTCAACTCCCCTGGTGTTCTTGTGTTTATATCCTTCAACCCTTCTTGCATAGTCATGTCACATTTCTTCTTGTACTTGAACTCTAATTCCGTCTTTGTTGTTACCACAGCTAAAGCTGAGGAGCCCAAGATCATGAGCATGACAAGCATAAGAGACATCAGGACAACATGCTCCCACCAGCAAATATAGATCACCCCCGTGCCCAGTTGGATGGCAATGTTGACAAAAACAGCGACCACCAGTATAGCGAAGGCCATGATATTCATCATGATTTCCTTGTTCTTCGCTGTTCCTAGTGATGGCATCGAGTTTGCAATTGTCACGCAAAGCAACACCGCACTGCTGAGCTTGGAGAGCTGGTCGACTCGGCTGGGCATGGGGGTGTTGAGATCCACTGAGAACTTGACTGCTACTGCTATTATGGTGAGTGAAGTGGCGTTGATGGAAAAGAACCGACTAGGGAACCAGAATTTTCTGTGACGAATACCATGGATGAGGTCAGCAGCCATGGCAACTGCACAGACTAGAGATGCTGCTGCTACATAGAGTCCAATCCATGGTAGAGGTTGAGTGTACTTTTCTTCATTCAGGTTCCCATCAGCACTGCAACCCACCATTTGAGGCAAATTTTTTGCTACTGGGTCGAGTTTTCCTGAAGCTTATAGGAAAGATAAAGTACTTGGTTTTCGTGGGTCAATGGTTAATTGTAGAAGATGAAAGCCTTTCTGGAATGAAGCTGGAAGATGTTTGATTTATCAAACCCAAGTGAATGATCTAGAATTTGTTTGGTTTAGACCAAAATTCAAAGGCAGAGGAACCCAGGCGACTCGGCAGTCTTCGGCTTTACCAGAAATAAATGATGAGAGGACTAGAAGCAAGTGAGCGGTTCATAGAATCATACATGATTGACCGTTATATTGGAAAAAATTAGATGAAGGATATCCGAATTCTTTCGAGGCCTACTGATTGTTGTCGTATAAATAAAAATCGGGTCCCAACAAATGATGACGATTGAGGTGTTGATCATATCAGCTCGAGTGTATAGAGGTTGCAGATTCCAGTGTATTCTTCTCATTCAAAGTCTGTAGTGTTGAATCTTGACCCTAGACTCTTTGGCAGGTGGGCCCACAGTGCCATCCATTGTTGAGGAAATGACAAACTGATTTTCTAGTAATCTGAGTACCCTGAGGTGAGCTTTCTTCTTCTTCTTCCGATTGCCAAGTTTTTGTAGCTTTTGGTGGTTCTTCTTCATGGTTACGACTTACGGCAGGGTTCCTTCGTGGTGCTAGTGGTTTTATGTTATTATTATTATGATCTTTTACCAAGATCAATTCAGTTCAAATAAGTTTAGTGACAAATAAGTGAATAACTTCCCTGTTCATTGTGATTGTGCTGTTGCAATATCATTGTGTTCCACAATCTGCAGGTCGGTGGCAACTGAGCGAGGATTCAGTGCCTGATTTTATGTGAGTTATGTGCAAATAGGAGTGGGTAAGTAATCAAGGACTCACAGTTATGATCAGCTAGATGTCGACTCTCCATGAAAAAGCTGTTGAAATTAGTCGCGTATATGAAAGCAAGATGTATAATATACATTTTAGTCAGAATTCTTATAAGCATAGGCATGTTTCAGCTTTCCCATTTACTTATCTGTTTTGCTTTAGTGATGAGATGCTGATTGTGCCAGGCATTAGTATGATGTACTTTGACGGGCAATATTTACATAGTTGATTGTTATCATACACTTTGATAAGCAATATTACATAATTGTCCATGATTTGCAGCCGCTACAAAATTTAGATTCTTACATCGAAATATTACTCTGCATATGCACAAAGTTACCAGTAGCAAGTAGTTTCAGTCGATCGCTAAATATGTATCTCCCACATTGAACAAATCGGCATCGTCCAGTGCTGGATGATCAATGATTGCCAGAGGTTTACTCGCTTTGTGTAAGGAATGCCAGTCACCGACGCTACTGATTTTGTCACAGTAAACAACGGACAGTGTACTTTTGTCAAGAAGCTTCACTATCTCTTCCGTCTCGCCTAGTAGGTACACTGCTTCCCTCACACTAACTTTCCTCTCTTCAATTGTGCTCTTCAAACACTTGCAGAATATCACTGGCCTCAAATTAGTTAGGCAAGCTGCCAATATATCGGAGATCAGCACGCTGAGTGTTGCAAACAACCTCTCCCCTGAACCGGTGCTGTCCCTGTGATGATTCTGCAGAATCGTGCTGCTTATTCTGTACATGGAATTAGCCGCCAGTGCCTTGGCGTGCCACTCCGAGGGGGTTTCCCTCGGACATTGACTTGGATAAGATTTCCTAAACTCTGTTAGCTTGTTCTTCCCAGTTTCTGCCAGCCCTTCCAGTACTTCTTTCGTGGTTTCTGATTTCAGGGACAGTTCATTCAGATCCACGCCACACCATTTATGGTAGATGTCGACACCTGCCCACACATGAAATGCCGCTCTTATCACGTTACTCAGCTCTTCTCTTCCATCCTGGTGCTCTTCCACGAGCCTGACATACACGAGGCCCTCATGGACGCTGCGTATCAACTGGTTAGCCGAATGAGTGTCCACATTCGGAAGCGCAACTGCAATTGCTGTAAGAGTCACTATAGGGAGAGACCAACAATGGGGAGGCTCATTACATTCCAAGCTGCAAACTTGTTCGCAGTCGAATTCCCTCACACCTTTAAATCCTTCTGCGAAGCTTGCTCTCCTCAACAGATTAGTAAGATGTTTCGGCTTTCTCTTTCTCCCCTTTTGCAACCAGTGAGCCGTAGCAGTACAATTCTTCCTCATTGTCATTTCCACTAGCTCGTCCTCGCCCTCTAGATGCAGAACGAACCGGCTCAAATCAATTTTGTTTTCATCCTTTGTTCTCCTCTCGATTCCTGGTTCAACCGAAATGCTATTTCTTGGTAACAAACTCTTCAACTTGCTGCAGGAATCACAGACATAGACAATCCTTCCCGCGCAGAAGATGGAGATGAACTGAATCAACTTGCACACCATTACTATCCCGATTTGAGCCCCAATGCACGTATCGAAGAATCTGCGCTTGGCATCATGAGCAACCTTCCTAAGCTGCTTGCTTTCAATCTGTATAAACGGACACTCTTTGAATTCCACCAACAACTGAATCCAGTACTTCTCCACTCTGAAATACCCTCCTCCTCCATTGTTGCTCTTCTTCTTCCCATTTCTCGGGCACCTGAAGGACACCGCAGTGAACCATCTCACAGCCGGAGCAACCGTACCAACTCCCACTGCCACCGTCTGCGATATGAGAACTAAAGTCGTCGACCATTTGTAGTCAGACTCCCCTGCACAGAACTCAAACGACCAGGGTGTGAAAAACGACCTCAACATCGCCTCTCCCAGAACTGCGGCGCCGAGAAGACACAGCGCGCCGGACGCCGTACACGTCACTGAACGGCCCATCACAAACTGGGGGCTACTGGTATGCGCCATGATCCAGAACTTCATCAGGTCCTCTTTGAGTTCCTCTGGCGTTCTTCTGTTCATATCTTTGGACCCTTCTTGCATAGCCATGTCGCATCTTTTCTTGTACTTGAACTCCAACTCTGTCTTGGTCGTAGGCACGGCGAGAGCGGAGAAGCCTAGTATGATGAGCATAAGAAGCATCAAACCCATCACGGCAACGTGCTCCCTCCAGCAGATGTAGATCACTCCCGTGATCAACTGGATGGCGATGTTGACGAAGACCGTGACGACCAAGATCGCGAAGGCGATGATGTTCATCATGATTTCTTTGTTGGTGACCGTGCCGAGGGACGGCATGGAGTTTGCGATGACCACGCAGAGCAGGACTCCGCTGCTGAGCTTGGTGAGCTGGTCGACTCGGCTGGGCATGGGAGTGTTGAGGTCGACGGAGAATTTGACCGCTACTGTGATGATTGTGAGAGAAGTGGCGTTGATGGAGAAGAACTTGGTGGGGAACCAGAACCTCCTGTTGCGGATGCCGTGGATGAGGTCGGCTGCCATGGCGATTGCGCATGCGAGCGATGCTGCTGCTACGTAGAGCCCGATCCACGGGAGGGGACGAGTGTACATCTCCTCATTCAGCTTCCCGTCAGCACTGCAACCCACCATCTGAGATTTGATGAAAGCTCTGCTTTTTTTTTCCTGTCTGTCTTTGGAGGGTTAATGGTCAACCGTAGCCGAAGAAGATGAGTTGATTCAAGGCTTCACATTTATGAGACCCATGTGAGAGATTTGTGGACATGCTTGGTTTGAACATAGAAAGTCAAAGGGCAGGAGGGCCATGGTGAGTGGTGACTCTTTCTCTTGAAATTTACTGCAAACAGTCGTCAGTGCACAGCACAGGCAGAGGATTGAATGGAGCAGGTAGTAGTATTTGGTGACGACCAAGGAATTGAAGAAAAGTAAAGCAGACAGACCAGAAATTTTCCTACTGATTGAATGGATTTATACAAGGAAGCCGAAAGGTCGCAACAGTACAAATGATGACGTGATTGATGGCATCATCAAGCTGCAAATCTCACTCAATCAAAGCTTTGTTGAATGTTGATCAGAGACTGGGAGTGTTGTCACGTTGAGTTCTTCATCCAGTCCAGGATTCACAATTTCTCGCCGGCTTTGGTGCTTCAGAATAGTTTCGATGCTCGCTACGCTAAGGGTATCATTTTTTCCCCCGCGAATCCCACCGCTAAGGATAATAATTTGTCGTCTGCTTGCTCTTCGTCGAGTTGATTAGCGATTGTGAATTGATAAATGCGAACTGGGAGAAGATACTGACCTAGATTCTTTTAGTGGGATGAGAGTAGGGGTGGCTCGTCGCTAGTTACCTCGTTTCAGTGTATGAATTTTCGAAGTCCTAAAGAGTATCATTGGGCTTTGTATTATTGTATGAGCAGTTAAAAATTGGTAATGGGTTACGCATATTTCAGTTGGCAATTAAGGACTGGTAAATAATGTGAGGATCGAGGAGAGATTAATTTGGAGGTTAAAATGCACCACTCTTTTACATTATTTTTCGGTATTGTCCGATATTTTGGTATATAGCGATCCCAATCTCATTAGCCCTAATATCGAATTACACTTGAAAATCAATCTCAATCTCATGAAAAATTCGTATATTCGATAATACCAAATATCGACAAATTTAATACGGTATTTGATATATACTTAATACCGATACCAAACTTCCATCCCTACCCACGAGAATCGAACTCATTCGCTCCAAGTGCTTCGAGACTACATTGCCTTGGGCTTCAACTTGGTGATTGTCATTTTGTTCCCCACTTTGTATGTCCAACATCGGGAAAAAATCCCAAAGTACACACGTTCTTAAAAAAAATTCCCAAAATACATGAGTTATAAAAAAATTTCCCAAAGTACACATGTTTGAGCATCACCGTTTTAGACAAACGCGGTGAAGATCATCACCGCGTTTGACTAACACGGTGAATACTTCACCGTTTTAAACAAAAACGGTGAAGTATTCACCGTTTCAGACCAAAACGGTGAAGTTTTCACCGCGTTAATTAACAACGGTGAATACATCACCGTTTTGGTCAAAAACGGTGAAGCCTTCACCGTTGTTAACTAACGCGGTGATCATTTCCCACGTTTCCCACCCCTGGTAGGTCAAAATTAGGTCGCAGCTACCACCTATTCACCGTTTGAGACAAACGCGGTGATAGTGTTCACCGTTTTTGACAAAAACGGTGAATAGTAGGCAGATTTTCCTATAAATACCACACCACCAGCAGTTGTAAAAACATAACCACTCCCCTTTCTTCAAATTTCAGCAGCCAAAATCGAGCATAATACACAGAACATAAATTTTTCGGTATGTTGAGACTTTTCGTATTATGGTCTAATTATGTTTTTAGTAGTTATAGTATGATTTAATTTTCGTATTATGTTGTTGTTAGTTAGTTGAACTTATGTTCGTTAGTTATAGTATGATTTAATTTTCGTATTATGTTGTTGTTAGTTAGTTGAATTTATTTTCGTTAGTTATGGTATGATTTAATATTAGTTGTACAATATGATTTTGGTTAATTTTACTATCTTTAAGCTAATAGATACTTATTGTAAATTGTAGATATGGGTAAATTCAAGAAGTTTCATCTTACTATTCGGTGGAATGGAAGGGTGACAAACTCTGACATAGGCATTGATTATGAGGACGGCGAATCCATTATGCTGAAAATTGAATCCCGATTCAATTTTCAAGAACTCTATGATCTTTGTGCAGAAAGGGTTTGTACGAGCGGACAGACGAGACTTGGCAAAATTACTTACCGGTATCCAGACATGAGTGCTGGCGGGGTCGTGTTCCAAGAAGTTGTCATAAACGATGATGACGCGGTTATGATGATGTTACAGTTCCTAAGCGATAACCAAGTCCGGCTTGCAGAGGTGTATGTTGAGACCGAGGCGCTCGGTGAATCTCATTCTCACCAGTATTCTTATGATGATGGTTTTGCAGGAGGGTACGAATGGGGTGGTAGTTCGAGCAACTACCAAGGCGGTGGTTATACAGGAGGTTACGGGGAGGGTGGTGGTTCAATCAACTACGGTGGATCGAGTAGTGCAGGATGGGACCAATACTCGCAACCTCCTAAACCAGCCCCATTTGTTGAGGCCGATGGTGTTCAATGGCCTGCTTGGGGGCCAGAGTGGTATGGAATCGAGAATACCATTCGATCAGGGCGTACTTCACATGAACGAGAGGACGATGTTGGTGATCGTGGTCATGTTGATCCTTCTAGCTCGAGCTATCCATTCGAGTCAAGCGACGAGGATACTGAGGAAGATTTGATATCAGTGAGCGAGGAGGAGGAAGATACTGATGATAACGAGGATGAGGCGGCATTTCGTGAGGCACCCACGCCATATTACACACAGGTTCCAACTCAATTTTTACATAGTCAGAATGATCCCCCCGACTTTGTCCCTATGCCAGTGTACAATCCAACGGCCAATCTGGAGGTGGGTATGGCGTTCACATCGAAAGACGCTGTGCAGGATGCATTTACAGAAGAGGCGTTGAGGAGCAATTTCGAGTGGAAGGTAAAATATTCTGACAGTAAACAATTACATGTCATATGCAAGCATGATGCAGAGGGTTGTACGTGGCAACTGCGGGCTGCAAATATGAAGAGAAAGGGTGCTTGGGTGATTCGCAAAGCTGAGACGATCCACACATGCTCCTCTTCTATACTTTCCCAAGATCACAGGCAACTAAAAGCAAAGAAGGTTGGGAGAACTATTAAGCACCTTATAGAAGCACAACCAGATATCAAGGTGAAAGCTATCATGGCAGAGGTGAAGGATCGACATTCTTACACGATAAGGTACAAAAAAGCATGGCATGGTAAGCAGAAAGCCATGGCTGAGGTGTATGGTGATTGGGAGGATTCGTATGCTTTACTCCCTAGACTTATGGGAGCAATGGAGGAGTCCAATCCTGGGACTGTTTTCGTCCCAGTATACAACAATGTATACACTGAGGAACAAGTTCGAGTACAGGATAAGCTGATGTTCCATCGTCTTTTTTGGGCTTTTAAACCATGCATTGACGGTTTTGGGTTCTGCATACCGGTTATTCAGGTATTTTATCAACTAGTTCCGGTTTTAAATGTTGTATTATTTGCTGTTAAGTATATTTCATACTAATTATATCCTAAATTTTTATTCAGGTTGACGGAACTTTCCTTACTGGGAAGTACAGAGGATGTCTTCTAATTGCCACTGGTGTTGATGGAAACAGGCGGATTTTCCCGCTTGCATTTGCATTAGTGGAAGGGGAGAACAGTTTAAGTTGGGCTTGGTTCTTTGACCAACTGCACGAACACGTGACACAGCGGGAAGATATTACGATTATATCCGATCGACATGCGGGGATAAGGAATGCTGTTGGTGGTTTTCCCGACGAGTGGGGGTGGAGATGGAGATGGTGTATTCGGCACTGGCTCGCCAATTTCCAACACAAATTTGGGAAGAAGAAAGACATCAAAAATCTACTTTGGAATGCAGGTACTCATGTTTTTCTTATGCGAATTAGGGGAGTGTTTATTAAGCTGATAAGTTGATGTTATTCATCATGTATTGACCAGTTAGTCTTTTGTTCACCTTTTAGCGGTTGCACATCAACCAAAAAAGTACGAGCAGATCATGAAAACGATCCGTCAGACCCACCGAGCTGGAGCAGTATGGGCTGAAGGTCAAGAGTTGCCCATGTGGACGTTCCATATGGACAACGGGGCTAGATGGGGCATTGCAACTACCAACCATGGAGAAAGTATAAATAATGTGTACAAGGGTCTTCGAGCGATGCCTATTTCTGTCATCGTGGAAATGTCTCATTGGAAGGTCAACGAGTGGCGAGTTGCTCGGCTACAGCTAGCTATAGGGAGGGAGTTGCAAGGTCATTCAATAGCACATGACGTATTCGCTCAAATGCAGAAGAACGATGAAAAATCAAGTAAGCATAAGGTTGTTCTTTTTAACCGCAGTGAAGGAATATTCGCTGTCGAAACAGGTATATGGGGTGGAGGGAGACGTGGTCACAATCGTCAAACGGTCAAATTGCACTACGAATTAGGGGAGTGTTCTTGTCAAAAGTATCAGAACGAAAGGATACCCTGTTCACATGCAATGGCGGTTGCTAAGTCAATAACCATGAACAGAAACAGCCTGGTGAGTCCTTACTACACTGAACAAGCGATACGGAACTCATATAATGCAGCTTTGAGCCCCATGCCAGATGAAGCGTATTGGCCTATATACGCTGGAAAGTTGATTATCCCACCGTTGCACCTAAAACGCACCAAAGGCCGTCCTAGAGTTGAAAGGATACACAATGAGATGGATCAAGTTGAACGGACGAGAAGGGGACCGAAGCGATGCTCTAAGTGCAGACAACCTGGTCACGACAAGAGGCGTTGCCCAGGACAACCATCAACTTAATTTGCATTTACTTGTATTCTGCTACTAAATTGATCGCTTGTTTAATTTTTCATTAATGTTTGCATTTGAAGTCCAAGTATTTTGTTAAATCAAAAATGTTTTCCTTGTCGATACGATCGCGCGGCCGCAAACGGCTCGTTATTTCGACCTCAAACGAATAAGATACGGGCGTTTTAGTTTATAGTACGCAAAAGTTACTTTAGCGATACGATCACGCTTTGACGTCACTTATCTCACTCGTTTGGACTCGGAATTGGGATCTGTAAAATTCTATGTGATCGTGGTTGATTTGCCCAACTTTTTTGTGTTGAGGGAAGATACTGATTCTTGATAAAATGATCCAGAAAATTCATTCGACAACTTAAGTGCGTAGGATAGTTTTTAGACAATGCAAACTCAAATAACAACACCTAAAAATCACAAAAACAACATTGATAGTTCACTACAATGATAAAACGATAAATTCACTAATTTGCTTCATTTTGGCCCCCATCTCCACCTCTTCCTCCTCGTCCTCCACGACGTCCTCGACCCCTTCTTCCCCCCTCCGCCGCTGCTTCTTGGCGGGCTCGCTCAACGGCTGGTCGCGGATTTCTCTTGACCCGAGCCCCAACTGGGGTTACATATGGTGGTGGTGGTGGCTGAGTTGGAGCGGTAGCTTGACGAATGATCGGAGTTTGTTGTTGCGGGGTCTGAAACATCGAACTTTGTTGCTGATGTTGGAATTGAGAGAACCCATGAGAGAAAGTGTCCCATTCCTGAGATCCTCCACGACT